GTTTAATCCTGCTTATCTATGCGGAAATTCAATGTTTTTGTTCTACCGTCTGTCTGTCTTTTATATGCTCATTCCCATAAATGTCTGTCTTAGACTGCAAGCTTTAGAAGGCTGAGACTGCATTTAAATCATCTTACTGACATGAAAGAGATTCCCATATGGATAGATATTTGATAAATTCGTTTTTAAAATCTTCTTGGGGAGGAAAAAGAAAGAAGAGAAGAAATTCCCATCTCTTTCTTTAGTCTCTCCTTTTAATGCCTGGCCTTTTACTGTATTTGACATTGGAGCAGGAAAATGGAGCCTGTCCCTTGGAGCGGTATGTCTCTACTGATGACAATGAACCCTGCGAGCAGGGACAGTTTTGCAACTGATTCCTTCAAAAGGGATGCTTTCTGTAGCCTGGAGAGGGGGAAGCAGTGACTAGAGTCCTAGTCTTCCTCCACAGAAGAAGTGCTTAGAGGCCAGGACCCATGTGTGGCTGTGTAGAAGGCTACAGTGCACACAAACCCCTTTCCTGCTTCTCTTTTGCCCTATTGGCTCTGAAGTGGCCCTTGAGTATCCTGTCCTTTTTCAGAGGCTGTTTGCTGACAGTCACAGTGGCAAGGCCCAATGCTGACACAGCTGCAGATGGGGACATGATGAAGGGCTGGACTCTGGCCACTGACCTCCTCAGGGCTACGGTCATGCTGGATCATGTGACTCTCCTCCTCTCTCCTCTAGTCTCATGATGGCCTCACTCCTCAGCTGGTTGGCAGCTGGTCCATGCTAAATGACTAGGAAGCCCGCAGAGCAGTGCTTGGTGCCATCCTAGGAACAATATAAACTCAAGAGACTCATCCTTTGCCATCAAGCTTCCGTCCCAACATCCCACCACCTAGCTCTTGTGAAGGGTCCCGGGAACCCTACATTGCTAAATCAGTTTCCAGTCCTCACCTTATTTAGCTTCCTGGCATCGCTGATAGTCCTTCCCCCACTTTCCTCCTAGCATTCCAGCCACGCCTTTATGTCTTTCTTGCTGGTTTTTCCTCATCATCCCAATTTCCAAACCCTGGAGGAGACTTGCTCTCAGTTCTTGTATCTCATCTCATCTCATCTCTGTGTATACTCACTCCCTAGTGATCCTATCCAGACAAATGGTTTAAATATCTTTCACAGGTTGTTGATCCCCCAAATTATAATTCAGTCTGAAGAACACTCTCCCACCCTCAGATTTACTCTCCACTTCCTACTCAACATCTCTACTTGTATGTCTCATAAGCATTTTATACTTAAAGGTCTGAAATGTCTTTCTTCATATTCCTGCTCTCATACTAATTAGACTTATATTTTCTTTTGTCAATAAACAGCCATTCCATTCTTACACTGCTTTGGACTATCTGGAAATTCTCTCTCACATCCCATATCGGATACAGCAGCAAATGATGTCACCCTGAACTCTGACCTTATCACCTTCACTGTTGCCAAGACAAAGCAAAAATGATGCCCAAGGCACCAGCCTCTGACAGAACCCCTGGCCATGCTCTCGTCCATTCCATTCAGCATGTGGCAGCCAGAGGGATCCTGTGAGATGCGTGTCAAATCGCGTCACGTCGCCACTCAAAACCTCCAGCGGCCACTTGGCTCACTTCCAGCTCCAGTCAGTTCTCACAATAAGTTACGTGATCTTCTCCAGGGTCCCCTTAAAGATCATCTCCTACCACTTTCTGGTGCTTTCCTCTTGCCCCCTCACATCAGCCTCTCTCTGGGTTTGAGCTCAGACACTCCAGCCAACCTCCTGCCTAAGGGCCTTTTTATTGGCTTTCTCTCTGCCCGGGGTGCTCTTTTTTCAAATATCTGGATGCTTCCTTTCCTTGCCGCCTTCACATCTTGATTCAAATGCTACCTTCTCAATAAGCTATTCCCTTACTACCCCATCTAACACTACATTCTCTCAGTGCTGCTATTCCCTGTCCACAGTTTCTCCCAGCTGCTGGAGTAAACTGCATTTTCTCCATGATACTTAGCTCTTCCTAGCACAATAATTTATTGCCTCTCTCCTCACGACAGTACAAATTCCTCTAGGGCAGGGTTTTTAAAATTACTTTCTTCATTACTATATCACCAATCCCTAGAGAAGTGCCTAGCAGAGAGTAGACCTTCAGTTTGTGGATGGATGGACAGATGAACTGGAATACTGGCATCATCCTTCCTGATTATTTAGACAAATGCTATTTATTTATTTATTTATTTACTTATTTATTGCTTCTTCTTCTTGGTTATCTTCCAACCCATTTCTTCTACTTCCTCAGTGGCTTCATAGCTTTGTCTAGCAAAGCTATGACACGAATGACATGAATGGCGTCTGGAGTGTGCTGACAGACACACTGCCCAGGGTAAAAGCAGAGTCACCAGAGATACAATGAAATGATCAAACCTTTTTCCTTACAAAGACTATCCTTTGCTTCTGAGGTGAAAAGAACTGACCACATGGTAATCTTTTAAAATTTCAAAGGCTAAGATACTGCAGTAATTAAGACACATATCTAATTTGTAGGAGCATTTCTCCCCTTGTGTTTATTTCAAAGGGCAAACTATGAAGTTCCAAAGATAAGGATGTAGTTTTGAAGCCATAGACTTGTCTTTTTTGCAAGTCTATAAAGCCTCCAAATCCTTAATAAATGAATCACATCAACCTTACTTTTGATTGGACTTCCCAGTAGACACAGTTATTTGGACTCTTTTTCTCTGGCTCTCTTATTAAGTCTCACATTCCATTTCAACACATAAGTTGACTTGACTTTCCATACCTTGGTTTTGTGGATCTTTATTCCCTTGCCCCATCCTTTGAAACTGTCCTCCCAGCAATTCCACTCACAAAGAAGCCAGTCTTCATGAGATAAGACCGGCCAAGGACAAGAAGCAAGCCCCACAGGCTCCTTCAGCCACCAGAAAATGGTACAAGGGTAGAGGAAAAACAGAAACAGCCACTGGAGTCCAATCTTATCCATTTTCGGGCTTATGGAAATCTTGGCTGAGAGTCTGTCTATGGGGCAGGTCATTCATTATGCTCTTCCCAGAGCCTGGCCAGAAATTTGGGTAGATGGGCCTTGTCAGTGTGATCTCCTCCAGCAGCAAGGAATACTCCATGTTCTGAACTCTCTTTGGGATTTATGTATTCAGTGGGCAAGACAAAGAAGCTGCCCCTTGGAAGCTCTTGTGTTAGGCAGAGAACAGAATAGCTCTATGTCTCAGTGGATGGCCACTAGCTGCTCAGAAAGTACTGGGTATTGTGTGTTTTTAATAACACATGCTAAGAAAAGTGCTTATCACTATTAATCACTAGCAAGGGCTCTACTCTGAAGGAAGGTAGCGTGAGGAGCTGAGACATAAATTCCTGTGTTTTAGAGGTAAGCTTCTCTGTGGCTCACAGGCTAATTTATTTACCATACCATTCAGTGCCACAAACTAATCAACTACTTCACATTTCCATCAGCAGAGTAATGGAAGCTGTCAGGAATTCTTCCAGAAAGATCCTCAGTGGTGTCATTGCTCATTGTTATAATCCATCCAAAGCCCGTCTTCCAACTTGCAAAACTACTTAGTTGAGCATGAAGGCCTCCTTAGGTTATTAAATTATGTCTTACCAGTCTCTTGTTGTTTATGTATTTTAATTTTGCATCTGCACCTTGAGCAGAATTATCAGAAGGGGAGTAGTTGACAGGTTTATTAAATCAATCCATGACAAGGGAGCAGAAATTCTGTTCTGTTAACAGCTTTGGCTGTTCCCGTTTTTGCTGCCTTTTTTTGTGTCCCTTTCTAATTTTTAGCTTCCTGTCTTCCCTTGCATGGTTCCACACACAAATGTTCTGCTTGGCTCTTTAATCTGTTTGATTCCTTGACTACTCTAGAGGCCCAGTGTTTAGAAACTTGTTTTAAACTGGGCTGTAAGAAGACAGAAATATACCTATTCAGACATGTGCAATGAAAGAGAGATATTCCACCCAGAAAGAGGAGGAGAAGTGTGGTCAGAGTCACAGAGAGCAAGGTCAAGGAGATACAGAGTAGTTATAGCTAAGCCAATGTTCCTGACCCTTACTGTGCATCACACCTGAGGGACCTGTGAACCCACAGCTGCTGGGCACCACCCCTGGAGTTTCTGAGTCAGTGCTTTTGAGCAGAGGCCCAACAGTTTCATTTGTAACAAGTTTCCAGGTGCTGCTGTTGTTGCTGCTGGTCGAGGGGCCACCTGGGCTAATCTGCTAAGTGCCTGGATTGCCATGATTCATCATCTTCAGTACATTTGTCAGTTCAGAGCATCTATTGCTCTCGTTTCTATCCCAGCTACAGCCTATCCACCAGTCTGCCACAGGAAGCCCCAGAGGAAGGGATCTGGCTTAATTTCTATAATCTAGTTGCATTCTGTCAAATACGACTGGGCTTCTCCCAGTCTTCTCATTTAGCATTTCCTGGCTCCTTGAATCTAACCTACTTTAAGAGAAACTTTTTTTTTTGGTACCAGGGATTGAACTCAGGACCTTGTGCTTGTGAGGCAGGCGCTGGAACCACTGAGCTAAATTCCCGGCTCCTAAGAGAAACTTTTGACTCCTTTCCTATGGGAAAGCTCAGTGATGCCTAGAAGTTTACCACAAAGAGAGAAAGAGCCCAAAGTTCCAGGTAGCTGCATGGTGGAAATTGTTTCTTTTGAATAAGCCTAGGGTAGGAAACCTGCATGAGGAGGACATGTGATTTAAAAAAAGACTTCACCTTAGCAAAATTTCAACTGTCTTTTCAGGCCAAAGATTCTAAAAGAAACATGAAGGTTATAGATTAGGAACAATTATTTCCCATCTGTGACTAATTCCTATCAGTAGCAAATAATTGCAATCAGTGAGACAAAGGTAGCTCCAGGAAGACAGTCTATGGACTGTGAAGAAAGGTCAGTGGGGAACATTTTTGTTGACCTGGTTCTGTCTCTTGTCACCCAGAACCCAGCCCAAAGACAGAAGATGGCTGCTCACTGTTTCGGGGTTTCTCCTCATCCATGCCTTCGTCTTCATTCTCTGGGTCGATGTCTTCTGCCTGAGTGATCCAGTCGAGGTAGCCTTTGAGATCTTCCTCCAGCTGTTGTTTCTCTCGAAGCTTCTGGAAATCTCCCCGAGCCTTGGCCTTCTCTCTCTCTTTGGAAAACTCTCTGATGAGAGAGAGGAGTGGGCGGGCAGGAGCGTGCAGAGAGGGGTCGGGCATGGGAGGGGAGACGGAGATGAGGAGAGATGAAGTGAGCGTTAATGGCTTTGCACTGACAGCCCTGCGCGCGCCCCTCCTGCCCACAGCGAGTCTTCACTAGTCAGCTCAGCTTTAGTCCTCAGGCTCACACAGACGGAAGAGTCACTCACCAGGATGCTCTTCACCCAGGCCACGAGTGTCTAAGGGGATAGGCAAAGTCCATTTTGCTTTTTTCTAGATCATGATCATAGGCTTTGCTTTTTAATAATGTTCTCCAAAGACCTATTACCCTGTTCCACACAGTAACTAAAAAGCCCTCCGTGACAGTTATGAGGCAAGTGCTTTCATTCCACCAAGTAGTGGGTGGCAATTGAAACTAGTCTCACAAGACTCTTCAGGTGACACAGGTGTGAGGACTGGCAATGTACCGGAGCCCACTCACTCACACCAGTCCTGAGAGTCGATTGCACAAGTGTCTTCCCAACCCTGGCTTCCCTTCAGTGATGTCTCTTTGCTAGCTTGAAATATGCTATGTTGGGAATATTTACCTCATAGAAATTGGCAAATAATCTAGAGCAGGCTTTTCCCCAGCACACCACTGACTTAGGATCCAGTAGATTAAACCCTTCAATTTCTGTTTTCATTCTTAAGAGTTTCGCTTGCCACACTTAGCGTTCCTGGAATGATTTCTAATCTAGGGACGGCTCTTATCCACATGGAGCCCAATAAGGTTTCCAAACACAAGAAAATGTCCTGGAGGGCTTACCCTTTTGTTTTAAAAATCCAATCAGAATAGAAAAATATATAAAATCAAGTTGATATCAAAGTTAAATGATGCATTCAGTTTAGAGTAATAATGAGTAGCAATTGGAATTGAACTGGGGTTTCCTGGAAGAAGGGATACTGAAAAAGTTCTGACAGAATGGCTGTTTCTTTGATATTATTTGTGATTTGGTCCTTTGTTTTCTGACTTTGAATTCCCTGAGGAAGGAGAGGGCTGGCAGCAGAAGGCAATGAACAAGGGTAGTTCTCAACTCTCAAAGCCTTTTTCTTCCAAAATAGGTAAATAAGCTGTTGTTGCTTGTTTGTTTTGTTCTTTTGTTGTGTTGTTTTCTGTCTTTTGATGGGCAATCTATGGGAAATGGGGCCCTTGTGCATGTGCGTGCTGTGTGTGTGTGTCTGTCCACCCAGTCACTGGTCACGATTCCTCTTTCTCTCATCTGTAAGGCCCTGGTGCAGGGCAAGAGGTTGTTAAAATGACCTTGATGAAGTTTTTTGCCCTAGCCAAGAACTTGATAGGAAAGGCTCTTTGGAAGGAAGGATGGCACCCACAAGCCTTTGTGCGAGGGGAGAGTGCAAAATACTTAGCTCTTAAATCCACTGTTATGTAGCAGTGATGCTATTACCATGTAACCGCCTAGCGCTTGCATTTGCCTATAGAGCTTAGGAGAGCAGATTTGAACAGTCATCATTATGGTGAAATAGGAGTGGGGCTGGGGAGAGGTCTAGGGAATTTGTAATTGGGAGAAGGTGGGGGTTCTCCAGCTAATGCGTTCTCTTCAACTGCTGCCTTAATGATGCTCTGGTTTGGATTGAATTTTCTTCTTAAATTTGATTGAATCCAATTCTAATTGGATTGAACTTGCTATTTCTTGGGCTTTCTGCCAACCAGCGGGTACCTTCGTTTCCTTCCCAAGGACTTTCATGCCAGGGAAAAGGGGGCAGATTGACAGCTCACAATGAATATGGGAGCCTTCCTTGCTTTGCTCTTGCCCTGATTTTGCTGGTGGGGAGTGGACACGGACAGATGCTGGCTCCTCCTTCCCCTGAACCTCATAGTCCTGATCTTGCTCTTTGGGGACAGAAATTTCAGCAAACATTTCCCTCCTGATGCAAAGCAATTCTAAAAGCTGCCTTTCCAGACCCTCTCTGGCTGTCTTTCTGCCCACATCCATTTGCATTCTCTGTCCTTTTCCCTGGAGTGGGTGTGATGTCGTAAGGAAATGAATTGCTAAGGGTTCATTTGAGCTCTTTTGGATAATTTTCCAGTCAAATCTAAGTTCTGGTCATGAAACATCTACCCATTCTCTTTTTGGAGTTGGGAGAATAGATCAGGGATCCAGTTGGGCCAGTCTTGCTTTAATAGCATGTGCCTTGCAGAAGAAAAGCTCACCTTTTGTATTCCAGGGAAACTAAAATGAACATCCATACAGAGGAAAGAAAGATGAGGTGTGTGGATGACCCTGACTGTCCTTCCCATATTTTATCTGGTAGAGGAGAGACATGATTTGGGGACAAAGAGGGCTGGAGAGGAGACACAGCAGTTCTGTGGCATGGGGCTCCTGTTGAGCAGAGGGCATAAGCAGGCTTGTGGCCAACAGAAGGTTTACCACGTTTTCCCCCATGGGGCCCCACGAGGCAAGGGATATGCTGGGTGGCAGTGCCTGGCTCTCTTTATCTTCCTGCCTGGATGCCAGCCATGAGCCTGCTCTGGGGACTGAGCTAATGAAGATGTGAAGTCCCAGCCTGATGGGCTGTGCCGGGCACAAGGACTGAGTTGGTGAGACAATCGGTCACTGCTGCAAGATTTGTTATAAAGCAGGAGTGTATACCTCATCAGCAATGGCCAGTATGAAAAATGAGGGGTGGCATGGGGGTCCAGGGGCTGGTGCTCTGTCACATAAAGCATGCACCAGGAGGTAACTGGAAAATCCAATCAATACCAACCACTGAGGCTCTAGACCCTCTGATAATCAATATAGTCAATCCTCATTATTTGAGGCTTCCATATTTACAAATTTGTCTACTCACTAAAATTTATTTGTAAGCCCCAAATCAATACTCATGGCACATTCACAGTCATTTGTGGACATGCACAGATAGTTAAAAAAAAAAAAAAGTCCACCTGTTCGCTGCTAAGGTCAAACAAGGTGACACTCTACTTTATTAAGTTCTCATAATGTAAACAAATGTACTTTTTACAGTCTATTTAGTGTCATTGTTTGAATTTTTGTATTTCAAGTTGTTCCTAAACATAGTTTTAAAGTGCTATCTACTGTTCCCAAGGGCAAGAAGTGTGTGATGTGCCTTACAGAGGAACATGTGTATTAGACAAGCTTCATTCAGGCAGACCTGACAGTGTTGTTGGCCATGAGTTTAGTGTTAATGAACTGATGACAGATACTAGATAAGATGTCTTTAAACAGAAACACCTATAAAGTAAAGTTATGTATTGATTAGTTGACAACATGTTGAGACTAGAGGCTTGCAGGAACCTAGCCCTATGTTTCCTCTAGGATCAATGATTTGGTAGTCACTAATTGAGTGTCCATAGCAACTTTACAGAGCATAACTACTGTGAATAATGAAAACTGGCTACATGTGTTGCCATTTATTCTGCTGCCACCAACAGGTCATATGTGTCTGGCCTTTGTTTGCTTCCTGCTTACCTGGATATTGTCTGAACTGTGGTACAGGGTCCAGCTATACGCCCAGGTTGTAAAATGCCCACTCATCAGGTTCTCTGCTTTCTTTGGACCCATTGCCCAGCGGGTAAAAGGGTAGATTGTTACCCATGTAAGAGATCCTGGGCCTTTTGTCAACCAAAGGCACATATGAAGCTCCCTGTCTGTTATCATTTAAAAATAAAAAGTAATTGGATCCCAGAGTTCAGACTTCCACTTGATAAAGGCTTCACGTGCAATTTCAAGACTCTCATTGTCATTGTTGTTATTTTAATCCTAAAAGGCTGGAGATTGAGATTCTGGACGGAAAAGTAATTATAGCCCAATTATTATTCATACAAATGCTAAGTTTACTACGACCTGCACATAGTTGATGTGAGGATTAACAGATAACAGCATGGAAAGATTTTGAAAAGATCCAAGAGCTGTGTGCTCTTCTCACGGACTCTATCTGGCCTTGTCAGAAGTAGGTGTTCTGAGTATGTGAATGTTCAGATGAAGGATACCTAACCCTCTGGTGACCAAAGTCTTTGAATTTCTACCTTGTTAATGGAAACTTTATAGAACATGATTCTCTACTTTCACGAGAAGAACACATCAAGCACAATGTAACCTTTCCTTGAGGGCTGAAGGGCATAATTTATGAGGATGAGTTGGTGTACTGGGCTATAGAAGTATTATCCTTAAGTGATGGATGTAGAGTTCCACCTGCCTCCCCCTGCCAGAATGCCCCAGCCTGCAGTGCTGCTGAGCTGGTCCTGCTGATTCTCAAGGCCAGTGAGAAGTGCAGGGCTGCAGGCCACTGTGCTGATGAACCTGCACTGCTGAAGCTCCCAGGTGAGTCTTTGTGGCTTCTTCCTGGGATTCTCTGTCCTGTCTTCTGCTGCCTGTCTTTCCCTTCACCCACTTTGGCTTCTATCTTTCACCTCCCACTTCCTGGATGTAATTTACAAGCAAGGCATCAACCAGTCAGATGGGTTAGAAAGTGAGTATACCATGAAGGTTAGAGACAGAGGCCATGGGTTCCCACTGCTTGGCTCAGCCCTTTGTTTTCACCTGTTGGGATAGTTTCCTCTTCCATCCCTTACTCTCCTCTGCAGAATGGAGATATGAATAGCATCCAGCGTATAGAGTTGTCATTGCATTAAATGAGCTAACCTGCTGAAATGCTGAGCACAGAGCCTGGCACACATCGGTAGTAACTGTTCCTGCTGTCCTAGTGCCAGTGAATTTCAGGGGGCTCTGAGTCACTTTTGAATGCTTCTGGAAGTTTGGCTTAATCAGAAGTCTGACTGATGAATAAGTGGGTGTTTTGTTGCATTCTTGGGGTGACTATTACAATGATGTCCTGACCAATCAAGACGCTGACTTGAAGCCATTGCCACCATGGGGCTGGCCAACCGAAGCCTGCTTACAACTTTTTTGTTGCTGCATGAGCCCAGGGCAGTGCCTCCAGAGTGGCCAGCCCTTGACAAATTATGAGAGGCCTCCCTAAGCCAAGAAAGGGGAGATATTTGCCCATAGACACCTTTTTGCCTGAGAAGAGGATCTATCAATGATTCTGGAGTTGCGAGGAGAAGAGTCGTTCTGGGAATGGTCAAGCAGCAGTGCTGGGCTAATCTTCAGAAAAAAAAACACTGTATGGACTCAAAGGTTCACAGTTTCAGAGATGAAAGAGCCTTAATGTTTCTGTTCTGTTCTCCACCAACTAATACTTTTGAAGCTTCTTATGGTGCCACATGGAAGGTTGAGGCAGAAGGATCACAAGTTTGAGCTCAGCCTGGGCAACTGAGCAATTTATTGAGACCATGTCTCAGAAAAAAAAAAGGTTGGAGGTGTAGCTTCAGTGCAAAGGTCCTGGGTTCAATCCCCAGTGCCACCCCCCACACCCACACGCTCAAAACCCCAACATTTTTTAGTATTACTAAGACCAGGTATTGGATGGGGTGTTTTTACACATTCTAACTCATTTGGACTGAGCAAGACCAAGACATGGCTTCAAAATTATTTTTCTCTACCATCAGCAGCTGCTGTCTTTGATTTCTGTGCTTTGACGTCACCAGGAAGGCCACTCCTCTGGTTGAGGTGAGAACAACTATGGACAGATGTTCTGCTCAAGGACGGCCCATGGCCTAGTCCTCATTCTCCATGTCAGATTCCCGGAGGAATCTTCCTTGCTCAGATTTGATTCTTAATCTCTGGGAGAAGACAGTGAAATTCTGTATTTTAAAGGCTAAGAGCTCTGGCTTATGTTACAGTCCATGCTTATTTAACATAAATCTAGTGGGCAGTGATGGGAAGATGGGAGCCAACGCTGCCCCTGAATTCTGTTTCTGTTTCTGCTGTTCACCAGCAAAGTGACATCCAGCAAGTCACCGAACACCTCTGGGTTCACGTTCCTCATCTTTAAAAAGAAAGGATGGAGTAGCTGTAGCACTGATGATTGCATTCAGTGATTCTAGTTGGATAGGCACAAAGTAAACAGTAATCACTGCAACGACAGCACTGTTACTGAGTACTTACGACACAGTACTTCACATAAAGGATCTCATTGTACCAGCACAGTCACCCGTGAGTTGGTGTTATCATTTTCATTCTGTCAGATGGGAAACTAAGGGTTAAAAGGTGAAGTTACAGCCAGTCATTCTATCATGTCAATACTTGTGAGGCTGAGGCAGGAGGATTGTAAGTTCAAGGCCAATGTGGGCTACACAACAAAAACTTGTCACACATAGGAAAAAAATACAGTGAAGTTGTTCTGAATCCAGCAAGTGTAGAGGCGGAGGGCCGGGGTCCTCAAAATTTTTGTCTTCGACTGTGAAAATGAACTTGATTTTTTTTTTTTTTACAGTTCTGTCCTTGGAGATCCACATATAAACACAGGGCCATTTTCTTGTGTTGGAATGTAAAAATGAAAATCCCTCTAACCTCCTGAGTCAGGGGCTTCTATTGTTCTGTTTATCATTTTTTAATCCCCGAGGGAAGACACTAACTAGTCTCCTGTGTGGCTTCATTTTGGCAAAAGGCACAATGCCTTCGAGGGCTCTGATGGGCCATCAGCCAGGGAAGGTGAGGAGGAGGAGGAGGAGGAGGAGGAGGCAGATTCTTTCCTTCACCCAGTTTCCATAGTGAACCCTGCACCTTGCGTCACATTTGGCTGCTGCAAGAGGCGGCAGCAGCTCTTCCCAGTTTATGCGCTAAATGGAAACTATCAGCACCCACTCTCCTCATGCCTGGAATCCTCCAGTGCTAATGTCCCTACAGGCCTAGGAAAGATTATCAAGGCAGGTGGCCTGTTTCAAGCAGAGCAGGAAGATGAATCCCCCACCCCCATGTAGCAAAGGCAGAAGAGTGGGTCAGCCACGAGTGAGTCACCAGGAGCATTTAGGTGTCAGGCCTTGGCATGGCTGCTGTGGGCTGATGAAGAAGAAAATGGTTTGAGGACACACTCCTAGTCCCTATGGTGAAAAGGGGGTTGTCCTCAGAGCTACTCAGTGCCCTGGCTACATACCACTCTGTCACTTTTAACTTCATTGAGCAATGGCAGAAATCAGGTAGATTTTATATTTATACCAACTAGATAAATTTAAAGGAAAGCAAATCTCATCTCTTCTATTCCCAAATACCCTATACTTTTAAACAGTGAAGCATCCTTTCTACTAAGAAAAGGAAACATCAGTGATGGACTGACTGCTGAGCCTAGGAATCAACAATGAAGAGAATTAGATTTTTAGTCTGTATTTCTTTCTATCTCTGTGTCTATCCCCCCGCCCCGTGTTGGGGATCAAACCCAGGGTTTTGTGCATGCTAGGCAAGTGCTCTACCTCTGAGCTGTACCCCCAATTATACTAATCTATCCTATGCTAGCCTCCTCACTGCAGAATAAAGGTGATCTAAAATCTTTCCCGTTAGGCTCCAAACAATAACCGGTTCATGTTATTAGGCAAGGACTTATCTGCAAGGCTGCTATGCGTGTTTAAAGCAGACGGTATATGGATCCTCCTTCAGATTCTTGCTGCCAAGCCTTTCTACTCAAAAGTCTCACCTTTCTGCTCTTAGGCTGGGGTCATTAAGATACAAGAGAAGCATCTTGCCTAACTGAGCAGCTCCTTGGGGCTGGGGAATGGGAGAATCCACAAGGAGATGGGCAAGAACGGGTGTCTCTTCTCCCTTGTCTACCTGCACTCTGGTGGATTTGACTCTTTTCCCAGCCAGGCCAAGGACGTTCACTTCAAGGCTCCCAAGATGACCCCTTACCCCAGGTTCATCAGAGGCAGAAAAAGAATAGAGCCAGGAATAGCAGAAAGAATAAATAAAAATAAATGGAAAAATCAAGACCTTTTTCTTTGGTCCTGCTTACCCGCTAAGAACACCGAGAACCAAGTTAAGTACAAAAAATGACCCTATGATGATTAGTGTAACAAAATAGATCCAGGGCCAGTCCCTTCCTACGGCATCATTGACCTGGAAGAACGGAATGATAGTTAGTGAGGCACACACAGCAACCGAGCAGGGCCGAGCGCCCACCGCCGGCTACCCAGATGCTGATAAAGCAGCACTGGGACCGGGGATCCTCAGGGTGCAAATCAAAGGCCAAATAGCCTGCCCAACTGATGGGCCAGAATTTGGGTTGAATGGAGACTTTTTCTTCGGTTTTTCTGGACCTGTTAGGCCCTGAGGATCTTGGGTTGCTCACAATGGGGCCTGGGACCTTGCTCAGCTGCACTGTAAAGAGCATGTAGAAACAGTCAGCTTACCCGCTCAACACACCGAGAACCAGATTTAGAACGAAAAAGGATCCAAAGATGACCAGACTGACAAAATACACCCAGGGTAACTCATAGCCCATAGCGTCCTGCATCTGGAAAGATGAAGGAAAGTTAGGAAAGAAAGAAAGCAGAACTGAATTACAGTAAAGAGGGAGGTGGAAAGGTGTGGACAGGTCTGCAGGAGAAAAATGGGGCTGACCTCGGCTTTCATTTATGTGGATTAGGATCTACCACTGCCATGGGCATGGTCTTTATTCAGAACACTTCCCTGCAGGGCCTTTGTTGGCTCTGTCTCAAGAGGTATCTTGCCTGGCTCTGTCTGTTGTTTATTTTCTAGAAAAGAAAATTTTCTCCAGTGTTTTGTATTCACTTGTCTAAGAAGGTGGATCAGCTCACAAACAATTCCTTCAGCATAGGATGAGGTTAGATCACTTGGGGATATGTGGCCATAAATCTTCCATTGTACGCCGAGGCACTGTGCCCTCAGCAACTGAAGTGGGTCAGCTTTGACTGACAGAGCTGAAGACTGAGCCTTATAAGCTGTATAAAGAAGGAGATCTTCCTACAGGCCGTGCCCCGTGGGCCATGCCCAGAATCTGGAATCTCAGCACCTGATGTTCACGACAGACCACAGTGGGAAGACAGCTTTCATGGTTTATGTAGTCAAAGAAAGGGCTCTGTCCCTACTACCACACCCTCCATTTCAGTTCTTAACGTGAAGCTGGGCCTATAACTCACAGGATGATGGAGATGCTCCATGACAAATCCCTACAGAGCTTGGAGGCGGTGATGCGCCTGGGCTAGCTCCTGTGGACTGTGGGAAGCTCACTGTGTCTCTTGCCAACTCTTCCTAACTTCATGTTCATATCTGGTGGAAGTATTTACATCACAGAAATGGGCAAGGACAAGTTATAGAGCAGGGTTTTTATCACAGAGGAAATTTTATTCTAATTTTGTTTCTCCAATCTATTTCTTATGATGCTTTCTGAGTAGACTAAGTAAGGTTTAATCCAAGCATTTTAGCGAATGAGCCCAACAATGTCTTTGTGAAATTAGTTGACAAAACCCTAAATTCTTAAGAATCAAACTTTCTGAATGGTTTACATCAGTGGTCCTCGAAGTGTGGCCCTAAGCACAGGCGGCAGCATCAGCAGCATCACGAACTTGTTTAAAATGTGTATACTTGGGTCCCACCTGAAACTCTGGGGATGGGCCCAGCAACCCATGTTTTCAAAAGCCCTACAGGTGATTCCTCATGGAAGTGTGAGGACCACTGATCTACATCATTCTCTCCAAACCGATTTGCTACATTATGGCCACCATGCTGCATCCTTAAGCACCACAGTGTTGCTCAAAGCATGGTCCCAAGACCACCAGTACCAGGATCGTTTGGAGAACTGATAAAGCAGATTTCTGGGCCCTGTACCCGCACAGATCTCATTTGGCTCATAAATTTGAATGGTAACCACCCCGAGTGATTCTAAAGCGTACTAAAATTTGATGATCACTGTTGAGATTTCTATGCCATGTGCCTCAAATGAGTTACAGGTGTGCTGGGATATTAAGGTCCTCAGGCCTCAGGACTTGTCACATGCTGAACCACTTTATCCATTAATTGAAGTGTGCTGCTAAACATGATGTTCTTTGTGTACTGTGAATAAAAAAGACTGAGAAATAGTGAGAGCCCTACCTATTCTGATTGGTTTGAAGTGTTACCTCCCAATATATTCCTTACAGATCTATTAATACCAAATGTTACTACTGCTTTTTGGTTAGAGAATTCCACTAAATGTAGTCAGAGTGCATAGTGCAAAAATTATACCTGCAGATCACTAGTTTGAACTGGTGTGGAAGAGAAGTGGACATCCTAACATATGTCCACCTAACCATGTCACAATTAAATGCAATTCAATGTGAATTTATTGAGCATTGTCATTCCACACACTGCCCTATTTCCTCCCTAGCATGTATCATTTTATAACTGTGTAATTTAGTTTCTCATTACATTTATTATTCACTGTTTGCCTTCCACGCCAGGAGGTAAGCTGCTCCAGGACAGGTGGCTTTTGTCTGTTTTGTTCCCTGGTGAATCCCACATACTGGAACAGTGCCTTGCATGGAACAGGTACTCAGTAAAGCTTGTGGAGAGAGCGAATGAATTTAAGATGTGCTAGGTGCTGTGATGTAAACAGGAAGCCTTTGCTAGCAGGAGAGACATGTAAAGAGCAACTGTAAAGACACAGAGGTAAAGGCAGTTGTAGGGGGAAGGAGGGAAGAGTGGCTGTGTAAAGGCTGAGCAAGCCAGGGCTGGATCAGGCAGGACAGTGTGAACTTTGCATTGTAGAGTCACCAACAGAGCAGGAAGGAAGCCCAGAGCCCATGTAAGCCTGTGACGGGAACAGGGGTTTCCTAGGAACTTGGCCATTGTTAAAAATAGAGCATACAGCTGTAAAGCCTTCCCTGCTGTGGGATGAAGGATTTTCTCAGTGGCAGAACTATTAAAATATCCAGCAACATAGCAGCTGCTAGGCAAGGCAGGGCAGAAGGTCTTCATATGTGGACCATGTCCTCAGCACAGGGAGCCTGGGAACTTCCTTCGGCCAGAGGAACTGTTGGAACCAAAAGAGCAAAGGAAAGCAGACCAGTGGAGGGAAGTTCAGTAAATCTTCACCACCAGGACAAGGAAAACAAAACCATACCAACACAAGCTAGGGTAGGGTTGGTGACGTGAGGCTAGGGAGAAAGGCATAGGAACCACGTGGCACAGCCATGGCAGCCTTATAACACCAGGGCTGTGTGCCTCACAGCATCACGGGGACGGTGAGGTGACTACTTGCCTTCTCTTAGCAGTGGTCATGTTACAGCCTGTGTTTATCCACCAAGTGTTTACTGAGTATCTTTAATGTGTGAAATGTGGGTTTTGTGTCAGACTCTCTCCTACACTGAAAGCAATGGAAAACAGGGAGAAAAACAGCCCTGAGGTAGAGTCCCAGGCATCTGCCAAGAGCTTCTATGGGAACCTGGAACCAGGTCTTGAGTGTCCTTTTAGCTTTTCCTCTCTAGATGATGTCCTGCTAATGAGGGGCACAAGTGGTCCTCTCTTTTTCTTCTAAATTGGTGCTTCTTTACTTTCTTGAGATGATGAGAGGTCAGGAAAAGCATGAACACTACAGACTCTCACTAGAACAGATGCACATCCACACAGCTTTCTGTACACAAGCCTGAGGTACACTGGCTCCCTGATGTTCATGCCTGGACCCTGTGTTACTGTGGTCACCAACTGGTTTGTTCTATACAAAACTCAGAGGAGACCTCTCCTTATATGTAGGTGAGGGGATCCCTGGCAGCAGAGGTCTGTTTCAAGCACATTCCCTCTTCTGTCCCTGGATCACAGATCCTTTTGGCAGGGCAGTTGGGAGCAGCTGGCGCCAGGAGGTTCCCAGGTGCACCATGGTTCATCTTGCAGGGCTGCTTCCAGAGCCAGGGAAGATGGCAAGTGGGAGGGAGGGCTGCTTGTGCTCCATCAGCCTCCCTGGAACGAAATCTTCCCACACTGGTTCCCCACATCCCCTAAACCTAGTGAGCATTTTATTTCATCAAAACCACAGTACTTCTAGCCACACAAACCCAGGAGCTCTAGAGATTCCCTTTAGCCCTTGATTAGTTTTCGATTCTTTCTGTGCCACACATAAGCTTGGTGGCTTCACATCCTTAAGGAGCTCAAGTGGATGGAGCTACACATATGAAGGTCACTGTCCTATGGACAGCCAGGCCATATGGAGAAAAAATAGTCTTCTCCTTTCCTGTTGCCCTACATTTCCTGTTTCTACATTTCTGCTTTGGTCCCTTCCTTGGCTGTGGATGGTCATTTTAGAGGTTCAAGGTGGGGAACAGCAGATGAGGGGTGGGAGAAGGAATAGTTAAGAGATTAAGGAGCATCTAAGGTGGTCCTAAGAATCCTGCCACTGCCTGGTAGGCAACACACAGCAGCTCCCAGATTCTCTGGTCTGCCAGGCTCAGGTCTGAAGGTCAGGTTTCCCTTTCGTTTTCTCTTTTACTTTCTCCTCTTTATTCTGGGGCACCTACTTCTGGGACAGACTGGGTAGAGAGCACACAATGCTGGGTGGCTCTGAAGTAGGGTGATGCCTGGAGAGATGAGATTGATGTCTTAAATCAGCTGGAATAGAGTTATTAAAAAGCGAAAGAATAAAGTCATATTTTAAAAATGAATCATATTGTTGGCACTTTTATTTAGAGGTGGAAAAAACGTAGGTCTTCTCAAACCATTAAGCTATGGAAGGAAGCTATGTGGTCTCCCTACGGAAGGCAGAGAGCAGTGTCTTGATGCACCCTCTGCAGCCATCAGGGGTCCAGGCCCAGCAACTAACAGGATGACCCCTGGCTTTGCTGACACACAGCGTAGTAGTCCGAGAATCTTGGGCAGAAATAAGAGGGCATCGAAAGAAAAATACCCCTCTGAAACCAGAGTCTCAGTCCTCCAAGGGAACTTCAGCCTTAAACTGTCAAATCCACCATTCATTTTTCCCAAAAAGAAAAATAAGAGGAACAACACCTCTCTGGCTTTTCCTCAAAGGCCAGCCTCGATCCTGTTTTCCGTGGGTTTCCACATGTGTGGCTTCTCTTGTAAGGTTCTTGGTATAGACACTAGGGATCCAGAAAGACTAAATAGCTGCA